TCCATGAACCAGGAAAGGATCAGAGAAAGATGATTCATGGTCTGTTGTGTCTGCTTAAATGTCCTCTCACAAAGTTAAACTTCATTTTGTGTCATTTTGACTTCATAGCACAGTTGAGGTAATGCATTTGACCAATAATATGCCTATAATGTTCTTTTTTTAGGATCCAGACTTCTATCTTTGAATAATCTAAACACAAGTGATCTCTGCAAAGAAAGTAAGATATCATCTATAATTTTCAATATTGGAACGAATGTTGTTCTTAAATTTTTTTATAGGTATCTAATGTAATGTGCTTGTGTATCTCTTTATTTAGTGTACATTGGGACTGTGGAATGTGTGTCTGTGAAGAGCGTTGTGTTCAGGAATGTGCTATGGGTTCATGGGAAATATGCCAACGTGAAAGCTCTGCCTTTGCATCACATCTTGGACATAGATGATCACTGCAAATCACCTAAACTGTTTCTTGGGAAGACCTACATCTTTAACAACGTTAATGTTTTCACTGATTTCAACCATGACTCTGTTCTTCAGTCACTCCATTTCATTTTTTCTAAATGTTCATCTTAGATCACCACTGTCTGATCTATGTATGGTCAGTTATTAGCTATTCTCTTGTTTTTGTATTAGCGCAAGTACTTAATTTTTATTTACTCAGTGTTGGTTTTCTTACTCTAAAATAGTGCTACACTAAGAGCAAGTCATAGGGTTTTTTTATCCTCAGAAGAATGTACTGTTAAAGTACTCATTACAGGGATGTTCTCTTACATAATGGTCTATTAACAATATAACACTGAACCTTAGAAATGCCCATTAATTAGTAAAACTCTACCCTAAAAGGAAAGACCATTGAAGCTTAACATTTGGGCACTTTGCTGGTGTAAGCATAAAATCAAAGAACCAGCCATATTTCTATCACACATTTTATTTTTCCATCAGTTATTGTTGTGCAAGCACACATGAAAATGTTTAAAAATGTGATCTTTTTAATCTTTTTGTTACCTAAATAATTGAAGAACATGTAACTCAATTGAATTAATTCATTAACTGAAATATGTTTACTCAATTAATGCATTATAGAAAAAATTAACTTGATTAGGGATTGCATTACTTTTAAACTGTTTAAATTAAAAAAAATCCAGAATTAGTTATTAGTGATATTACTTACACATTGCTATCAGTAATGCATTAAATGTTCAACGCTCATTTCCATCCAAACCATGTTGCTCTGTTTTTGAACGCATCCCAAAATGTGTGCTCGGTAATTACTACTGTTACACAGCTAATGCACAGTGTTGTTAACTTATACATGCAGTAATGCAATATGACCATTATCTTTCAAAGTCTGAAAAAGCTAAAGTAGTAACTAGGATATCCAAGCTAGTGTTGGTTTGAAATTAACAGTAGCTAACACCTTAGCTATCAGTGTAACAGGAAGCAAGGCATGCAAGAATGTTAGCTAAACTGCTATCAGCTAATATTGTTTGTCATTTGAAATTTTTGTGACTGTTATTTTTATGTCTCTTTTTTGCACTGAACTAAATTGTAAATGGCAACTTTTTGCACATGTCCTTGAACCATACAATTTAATGTATAAATGTACTGTAAAGCAAGATTTATTTGAAAGATAAAGCTTGTAACTGTCAAATGGTTAGTTGACAATACCATTATTATAAGCACCCCAGTTCCCACTGATCCCTCTAAAAATGCAATATTTCTGTTTCTTTGTAAGTACCTACTTTTAATCACCTTGACCCAAGTTATTTTTATATATGTGAATTTCGGGAAGATGTTTGGCATTTATTGTACTGTATGTGTCTTTACTAAATTGGGAAGAACATACCTTTAAGCTACTAACAGGACAAGCTCATGATATACAGTATATATATTATATATTATATTGCATGTTTATATTTAATATTTAATAGCACCTCCTGTATTATTAAGTTTTAAATAAATAAGAAGATAAGAATAATTGAATGTGTGTGTGTTTTTTTTTATTACTGAGTTATCACCTTGAGGTTGGGATTATCAAAAGTGGAGGTTCTTTAGCAAAAATATAAATGAAAAAAGTACTTGTATTACAATATGTGCATATAACAATTTATTGGACTATATATACATAACTATTACTACATTTTATATACACATTGTTTATTTGTATATTCGTAGATATTCAACAGAATTAGACAATAAATCAATACTCTAAACTGTGCTTATTGTTCTTACTTTACTTATACTTTATGGATACCCATATGGATACCACATACCCAAAACATACTAGGGAGTGCATAATTTTTTCATTTTTTGGTTTGTTTTTTTTTTTTTGCTCTTTTTAAAATTCTTTATAAAACACAACGTCATCAGATTTGATTTAAGGTCCAGATTTTTCCTTGGGATTTAATGTTGCAGTCACATGCTGCTGTTCACCCATTTAGAAACATCTCATTATATTTAATACATTAAACTGGGTTATATGTTGTAGATGTACATCTTGTGGCAGAAGCATGCTCCCCTCCAGCTACAGGACTACCTGGAGACCTTCACTCTGTCTGTCCTTTTCTACTCTAAGTGGTGTGTAGTGAATGTGACAGTGACCAAAACCACCTGAGTTCTTCCTAACCGGAAACCCTGGAAGACGAGTGAAGAACAGGCTCTGATCAGAACTCGTAACACAGCCTTCAGGCTGGGGGACAGTTCTCTGGACAGCACTGCCAGAGCCAACCCGAGGAGGGGCATCAAACAAGCCAAGGAGGCCTACAGGAGAAGGATTAAAGGCTTCCAGACAGACAGACAACCACCGCCAAGTGTAGAGAGGCAGTCAAGCCCTCACCAACTTCAAAGGCCAGAGCCCCCCAGCAGCCTCTCTCATGAAAACCAGGACCAAGACAGGTGACGCCTTTGCACCATGCCCACCACCGGTTTGACCTGCTGCCCTTCGGTCTGTGCCTAGGGTCAATCAGGTCCCACACCTCTAGACTCACTCCATTATCCTACTCATGTTGTCGTTTTATAAACATCTCTCGCTACCTAGCCTTGTTTACCAGTTTGCTTGGTTTTTGACAGCCGTGTACTTAACTTGTCTGTGTCCTCCTTTCTCCAGAGAGTCTAAAGGAAAGGTCAGCCTCATTCTTACCTTCTTATTCTTGCCTGACCCACTCTGTCACATCCTTTTAGACTCCAATTGAAACCTCTATTCCACAGGTGTCAAACTCCAGGCCTCGAGGGCCGGTGTCCTGCAGGTTTTATATGTGTCCTTGATCCAACGCAGGGGATTTAAATGGCTAAATTACCTCCTCAACATGTCTTGAAGTTCTCCAGAAACCTGGTAATGAACTAATCATTTGATTCAGGTGTGTTCACTCAGGGTGTTATCTAAAACCTGCAGGACACCGGCCCTCGAGGCCTGGAATTTGACACCCCTGCTCTATTCTGTCGAAAGAGAGGGGAGCTGTTGATTCCTGTTTAACACTTAACTGAAGCATATATATACTGATACTCTAGCCCCCATAAATTCTTTACAGTCACTTAGCAGAGGATTCACCTTTTTACTGTTGAAGACATACCTGTTGACAGACCGGGGCTTTTTAAAGCCTGTGGGCAACACCCAGCCTCTTAACCCTTCCACTCTGGTCCGCGTGCAGTCACTTGTAAACAATGAAAGATAACTGAAAACTATTTCATGCTATGCAGGGTGTGATGCTTTTATTTTAAAGTTTTGACTTTTATTTATGTATGGATACATGCAAGGGAATCCTTCAAAGTTATGTCATATCCCACAAAATCTTAAAAGAGGCAGTTAACCGTTTTGTGATGAAGAGTTTATTATTTATTGACCCTTTGGAAAAGACAATAGCCACCCCCCTGTTCTAAATGATGCAGACTACTGTATATTTTACATGACACAAAATAACTAACCAGGGTGCTTATCTTCAGCATGTCCAGATAAGGACGTCCTGATAATTTACCATGACTGTGCAACACAAATATACACATTATGTAAGCAACTGTATTAAGCTAATTAAATAGGACCCATGAAGCCATACTGATTTTATAAAGTTCTGAGGGGAGTCAATATTTAACTCAACCCTATAGATAACAACCATATCAGTGAGATAAAATCTCTGAGAATCAATTTGCAGCCTTCCTTTTCTGTGTCTGTCACTGAAGAAACAACAGCAGCTTTGAGCTCACATCAGTTTCCTTTTACAAGACTTTGTGTAATAGCTGATCGCAATCACTTCATGACATAAAGCATGCAGGATTTGTGACCGAGCACAACTTTATAACAAGCATTACTCATTCGCAGATGCAAACAGTGGGAGGTTTCATAAACATTCAAGCACACAGAATGAAACTGCTAACATGACATGATGACAAGACAAGACTGGCAAAAACACTGTAAGATGATTCATGTGAAAATGCCTTACTGCTGATTTCCACCAGCTTGACATTTACTGAGATTTGTGACCCTTTGGAAAAAATAATGGCCAACCCCTGTTCTAAATGATGCAGGCTGCTGTATATTTTACATGACACAAAAACAAGACTGGCAAAAACACTGTTTGTAAGATAATTCATGTGAAAATGCCTAACTGCTGATTTCCACTAGCTCGACATTTTATTTAAAAAACACAGATGTGTCATATGAAACCTGCATATATAATACAAAAATGTTACAGCAAAAAAAATCTGGGAACAATTTAAAATAAAGTTAATATTTAAAAACTTAATCATGTACTTCAGAAATCAGAATATAAAGACTGACTTTTTTGGCTTTATCACACAACCACATAATACATAACATGAAAGCGATATGCTTATCCTTTCTTTTCAATTATTCTTGTCACATTGGAAGGTATGCAAGTGAACAGTATTTGAAGGTGATGTCTTTAAGAAACAGGGAAAAAAATACAGCAAAGTGCTGACAGTGGACTACAGAGATGGATCTGGGCCTCCAGTTGATCCATGTACTGTACACCAAAGCCCCATCAGAAACGATATCAGTGGAAGGGTGTCGATTTATGTTTGCACAATGTTAAACAGACCGTTGCATCTATTTCCCATTTGGCTGCCAAAATATGAAGAAGCATGGGTGGCTTGTGACCTTTGCTGAGAATGATGTATGAAGTCATTTTTGAAACAACCTCTCCCTATCTTCTGATCTTGTGTGTTTTTTCTAACAATGACTATGTGGAAGGGAATCAAAGTCGAGGAAACACATTGCAGCTGGCACTGAATCAGCCTTTACTTGTGATTCTTTCCCGTTAAGCCCACAATTCCCACTGGAATATGGTGCAAATAAAAATGTACTGTGCACAACAGAGAAAACACCAATAGCAGCATACTGGCAGCTTTAAGGGACACACCAAAAATACCTGACATGCCACTGAAGTGAGGGAATACTTTTTTTAGTTTTTGGAGGTGGCCTCATGTTCACATTTACAAAACACAGAAGCGGTTTCTTTTACAGAAAGAAAGGGGGGGAAATATTAAAGTGGAAGCACAGAGAGTTTAGAGAAAAGCAAAAACTAGCAGAACACATATTGTCCAGTTTATAAGTGTGTTTATGACAACTGGAAGACAGCAGGTTCATTCAGTATTTTTGTGGCTCACAACAGGGAGTGAAGGTGGATCATACAGTTAAAGCCACATATAGACTCAGAAGCAAGTGTTACCAACATATTATCAACTGGAGAAACTGTTCTCTAAGTAGTGAGGATGTGGACTGATAAAATAATGTACAAATATTACTATATTACTATATGCAATATTGTTTTATTGCTGTTGCTTATTACCTCAAATTGCTGTAAAGCATTCATGGAAGGAAATCAGTCTCCAGCCTTTACACATGACAATGAAGAAAGGTATGCCGGCTGGAACCTTTAAGATGGCACTCAGGAACACCATTGTGGGAAAACAAGGGCGAGACAATCTTGTCTCAGTGTGATGAAACCCTGTGAATGTGTCGAATCTTTCCAGTGAATTGCTTTGCCAAGTCTGCTGGTATTGCTCATGTACAGCAGCCCTCCTGTGATAATATGTGTGGGCTACATACCAGTGAAAATGTAAACATAATGGTCCTAAATTGATAGCACCCACAAAGTTATACTAATGTGGTAAACTTTAGAGAGGGGGTCAGGACATGAACCTATTGACAAACATTTCCGTAAGATATGTTTTTCCAATGGAATGGCAGTGGAATCTCCCAGTGTGTACAAAATCTTAATCCCACTGGGGAAGTTCAGAAATGTGGAAGTCCCACAGCAATTTCTTTTATAACAACTTCCGTATTTACTGAATGCAATGACTTCATGGTGTAATACAACTGGGATTTTGGGGGACGAAGGACAAATTTTATACAGGACACAACTGTTTTTATAAGCCTTAACCAGGAGTATTAACTATGACTCATTTTGGCTCCCGCTTCAATGATCCGTTGCCGTTCCTTCCTTCCTTCCTCCTGTCCGGTGCATTGTGCCATATCAAGTCAGTTTTTTTTTCTTGATTAACTTGGAGATGGAGATGTGGGTGGAACTTATGACCTTTGTTTGGTGGTGTTTGCTGTCCTAAAGAAAAATGTATTTTATGGAGTAAATAAAATATTGCTATCATAAAAAGACATGAATATAAGTGATAGAGGTGTTTAGGGAGGCTCTGCATGTTCGATTTGGCAGATGTTTCCTGCCAGTAAAAAGGTTCTCTGTTCAAACCTTGTAATTGGACGATGCTTTTAGGTTCTTGTGCAAGATCCTTTTAACTACTCAGGTTTTCTCCCACACAGTATTGGCACCAGACTATGTGAACTGGACATGCAACTAACTCTGATAGGGGGGATTTGTCTCAAGTTACTTTGCTATTCCATAAAAAGTAAAAAAACATAATTAAACAGTGAGTGCATTCATACTGTCACTTATGTGCAACT